CCTGGTGGGTGCTAGAGTGGTGGAACAGAGAAGATCTCAATGATCTTTGTGGAATTAGAAGGGTTGGACGTCACTAGGGTGACTTTTGGGTCCAATGGAATCCACACTAGGTTCGTTCGCCTTGCGGGAATCGTTCGAACGTCGTTTTCGGACGAACCATACTTGTTTTCGGCTCACCTTCAAGAGGATGGAGCACTGGAGTTTAAAGAAGATAGACATGCACAAAAATACACACACTGTAAAGAACCTTGCGTTTGTTGTGTGTCGCGCAAAAGGTCGCTTGAGGCTTGCGGTGCTGTTGGGTTCGGGCCTTGTGAGGTCGTTTGGGGTTCTGGTTTTTCGCAGACAGGTGGAGGTCCCGGTCACCCAGGACACCGTGACTCTCTTTTTTTTGCACGGGTAAGAGAGGCAAAGTCACCGTGATGAATTCACATGAGGGGTGCGAGGAAATGAGCCTGACCAAGAGGCAAACCCAACAACAAACCACCAAAACAAACCCAAACCAACCACAAAAACCAAGCAGATCAGGCTCATGTCCGCTCAAGACGTGAAAAAGGAAAAGGCGCAGATCCGAAGACCAAACACAGGAGTGAAACAGGACACCGTGACTACTCTAGCATAAGGCGAATCCCTCGAGAGTTGACATAGTAGAAGTACGAGGTGTTCCAGTGTGCAGGTGTGCGGAACTTCCATCACACGAGAGTCTCCGGTGGAGGGCAGGGCCATCCAAAATTTTGTACGTTCCTGTCCCAAACGGGGTGTTGGTCATCAGTTGACGTGCATAAAAGACACTCTCTTGCCACGTGCATGGCCCGCCTTGCCAACAGCAAAAGGCCACATTTGATTGGCCCTTCAAGGCAAACATCCATGATCAAATGCATTTTGCCTTTCGTCGCGAATTCAGGCTCAGAACACACTGCCGGTTTGGTGGGTTGTTGGCGGTGTGTTCGAAAGAGATTCCCAAGCAGTTTGGCCAATCGGCTCAGTGCTTGCTAGCAGTGGGAAGCCTTATGTCTGCCATCTCAACTGCCGATGGCACATCCGAGGCCTGCAAGGAGGCCTTCTGGTGTGCGGAAGTCGATCCAAGGTCTTTGTGGGCTGCTTGCAGTGCTGCCCATTGGCCTCCCAGACAGCCACGACTTGCTTCATCTGCGGCTTCAGTCAGCATGTCGAGGGGAACCTCTGTGCTGCTATGTAAGAGGTTGCATAGGACCGCTGGCAAGTCGTGTGGCACATACCAACGATGTGCCGCTGGGAGGCCGATGGGGGCTTTGAGCAGGAGCGCTCTGTGTTCTCTTAGGTTATCTGCCACCCCTCCAGGACTCTGCTTTGGATCACCAAAGAGCAACCGAAGGAACGGTTGCCGTGGGATGGCCGGGACAAAAGCGGACTTGAGGTCCATGTAGTTTGCCTTCGCAACTGAGTGGATAGCCAGCTCCCTTGGCTGCCTCCCAAAGAGGTGGTCAGGACGTGGTGCAGTGTGCAGTTCTCTAGGCCTGGAAAGCGGTGTTTCACTGTTTCACGTGGTTTGTGGGCTTGCGTGCTCACCTGATACCCGGTGCACTCGTGTAACCAAGCGCCGACATGCAACAGCAGTTCCCGCTTGTTCTTTTGGAATTGCTGCCGTCGTGCACGCTCTCATCACCTCCCCTCTTTGGGAGAGGGGTGGATGTCTTCGTAGCTGCACCTTCAACTTTTCTCCAGCCACTGCTCGTCCACGGCAGGTTTCTTGCTGTCTTTCATTATGTTTCAATTCCGCACGCTCGTCCAACGATCCCACAGAGCCTTGCCCCTCTCAATCTGGGGTTGGGGCTGAGGCAACAGTGCTTGGTCAACCTTTCAATTGCTATTTCCTGGTGAGCAGATGTGTCCTCAATGTCGTGAGGTCGTTTGTCTGCCTCAATCTTTTCGTTCTGACACAAATCCAACGTCAGACAAAAACTCCAGGTAAGGCATGGCAGGCCGGAATTTTGCACAGCAGACTGAAGGATCTTTCGTGACAGAGCAAGCCAATCCGGAGCAAACCAAAGTTAGCATAGGCTTTGTCGTACTCTTAGACAAAAGTTTCGACTTGCCTGACTCCGGAACTGGCTTGGAAAGTACCTCATATCTGCGTCCATGCTTGCCCACCGATGACCAAGCTACCGCACAGTGATCGTTGCGAAACTTGTTGCTACTAACGGTTTGCTATTTGATGGTCATCCTGTACTGAGTGCTGCCTAAGCTTTGAATTCATGGCCCCGTTTCACACCCGAGTGTGATCTTCGGATCTTCACTTCTTTCTCACATCTTGAGTAGATATGAGCCAGCTTCGGTTCGGGTTTGTCTGTTTGGGGGGTTGGCTTGTTTGGTTGTTTTGGGGTTTGGTGTTTTGTTGTTTGTTTCGGTGGTTCTGGTCGTATTTTCTCTTCCGTCTTTTCGAATTCATCTATGGTGACTTGTGCCTTTCGGCACACATAGCGCCCCTACCCGTGCAAAAAAAATATCGCCGTGCTGCAACATTGATTGTTCCTAAACGCTCCCACCGCTCCTGCACGTTCTTGGGTGCCCCTTGCACACATGGGCAATGATCAACATTGCCACACAAACACTCACTGCCCGCAGAAAGGAATGTCGCTGTTGCCTGACCATCAAGTACTGAGCGCAAGTAGAAGAACGAATTCAGAGCCCCGTCTCACCCTTTTTTCACTCAACTTTTGCTTCGGCTTGCACAGCCCGTCTGAGATGCGAACCCGGCTGTTTTGTTGTTTGTGTTTTGGGTTGGTTGTTGTTTGGTTGGTTTTTTTGGTGTTGTGCCTTGCTCTGGTGCCTGGCTCGCATCTCTTAGTGTCCCTATTAATTCAATCAAGGTGACTTGTGCCTCTCGGCACACATAGCGCCTCCACCCGTGCAAAAAAATGATTCTACTTCGATGGTAACGAAGCACATGAACCTGATCATGACGTGCTGAGCGCAAGGGAAGAATTCATTGCCCCAGGCCGCATTCTGTTTCACCGCTCGTCAGGCTGACTCAGCCATCTTGAGATGCGTTGTTTTTGGTTTTGTTTGGTTTGTTTTTGGGGTTCTTTGGTTTTGTTTTGGTGTGTTTGGTTGGTTGCCTGTTTTTGTTGGCCGGGTCACTTCTCCTTCTTTTACTAGCCTAAGGTGACTTGTGCATAACCTGCACACATAGCGCCTCGACACGTGCAAAAAAAAATCAGCCATCTTGAGATACGAGCCTAGCCATGTTTTGTTGTTTCTTTTGTTGGCTTTTCTGGTTGTTTTCCGTTTCGGATTGCTGGCCGGTTCACTTCTTTTTTTTTTACTAGCTTAAGGTGACTTGTGCGCAACCTGCACACATAGCGCCTCGACTCGTGCAAAAAAAATGTGGCCTGTGGTGGGCGTGCCATAACAAGGCATTGCAACATGCGCCATCAGGCCTGACGAAACCTCCCTCAACAGGGAGGGGTCGTATCCAGCAAACTCCTCAATGGCAAAGCGTACAGGAGCGGGAAGTGTGCAAGATGCAATCTGGGAAAGATAGAGTCGGCATTCATCAATCGGCTGCCTCCTTTATGCATGGCCCTTGTGAAACATTATGAAACGTGAAACAAGAAAAAACTTGTTACGACTTGCAGAGTTTCCACCTTTAGAATGATAACCTATACCGCACACACGGCGTCCATACTCGTGCAAAGTCGAGAGATGCCACAAGGGTGCTTCTGTTCACCTGAACTGGACTGAGTGACCTTAGTTACCCCAGAAATTCACAGACTAGGAGCTCATGCCTTTGACAATGCAAGATTCTCGCTCTAGTCGACATTTCTGATACGACAATCCTAGAGATTCGAGAATTTACCTATTCTTCGGCATACGTCCCTCTCCATGTAGTTCTTTGACCCGGCAGTCGCGTCAGTCTTCTTGTACAGTCCAAGAAGGCTTTGCAGGCAATGTAGTGCAATGATGGTGGAATTGCAAGCTCTTGCAAAGCAGCGCAATTCATGAAGGCCTTTGCGTGTATGGTGCGTAGTGTATATGGGAGCATGAACTCGAGTGTAACACTCATTGTCAAGGGGCCATTACGGTTCGACTTACGTTTGCCTGCGGGACAAATTCCAGCAGGATGGCAGGCACTGCATGCACAGGGATGATCAGTCCCTGCACCCTCTTCTTGTCCACAGCTTCGCTGCATGTGGTAGGACAAAAGGCCACACGCCCCTGCTCTGTGTAAAAATTTCGACGAACAATTTTATAACTAATGTTTTTGGCAATGGAAGCAAGAGTCACACTTGAGAACCAATGACAAATAGCTTTAAACATCATATGTTGTTGCTGTCCTGTCAACATGTTGTTTGTGTTTCTTTGCAGCCTTCATTGCCAATCGTGAACACATAGTTGCACTGCAAGAGTTTGGTTTGATGATGTTCTCATCCTTTTATACAGGTTTTGGAGACCAAATTGCTCAATGTCAATGATGTCAATGAAGGGGTCACCCCAAACGTCCTCGACGATATTAATTAAAACCTACAGAATGCAGGGGGCTAACTGCCCTACAAATGCTCATTTTGTAGTGGAACAGTGCTGGGTACCCAACCCTTGAGGTTGGGCATCAACATTTGGCGCGTTGCAAACAGTCAAGCTTGGGTGTAAACTTTTGTAGTTCAAGGGAAATTCATGCTCTGTAGTTTCATTTTGTAGCTTTCAGTGGGCTTGGACCTCGTCAAATTGTATAATCTTCCAAGTCCCTTTCTGCAAAATGGATCCGTGGATGTCAGCTAGTAGAAAAATAGTCTACCAAAGAGGGACAACCCAGGTGTTTTCAATTGGTTCGAGGTTGCAAACTTGGTGTGTTCATTTTCGTGCAAGGTTGATTGGTGAAGAGGGCAACGAAACAGCCGTGTTGACACACTAAACCAGTGAGCAAGTTCCGATGCAGCCGGTTTAGTCAGGCCATCAAACAAGACCTTCGCAGAAGAGCAAACGTTGCGTGTTTATTTTTTCAGTCACCAGGGATCCCACATGTATGGGTAGGCACATTGTCGACATCTATTGGAGTGCCCTGTTCCCGTTAGTTCCCAACCATGCGAATGCTGAGGCTCAGGCTTTCACTGCTTTTGTTTTATTTTGTTTGCGCTCTATCCTTGGTCGTGGCTTCCCCTCCTCCCATACAAGGTGCGCACCACTTTTGGCGGGCATCTCAACCTGGAAAGTGTTGTGCATTTTGGTTTGGAATGCTCCTGACCAAGTCTCCTGCATAGAGCGCCCGATTTGTTCTAAGGTTCTTGTTGCAGCCGTTCATGTGTGCTTTGCATGGGTGCAGTTCCGAGGCCTTTTTCGATTTAATAAACTGTTTTTGGATTCTTCTTGCATACCTCGAATCCAACGGCTGTATTGCCAGGCGATGTATGTTGTGTGATACTATGGGATTTTCTGCCTTTTCAAGGTTTGCTCAGCGTTGGATGCACCTGTCAAAGCAGAACAGCCAGATGCAGGAGCTGCAGTGTTGGAGACCAGTTCAATGTGACTTTTAGATCAGATACTTGAAGCCAGGATGCAGCGTAACGCTTCATTTTCTGTTGTGCAGCAAGAGACCGCCAGAGCGCTTGCAGCTAAGTCGGGATTATTGATTACATATAAGAGAACAATTTGGATGAACACATTGCTCCGGGTTATTAAGTTTCGGACAAAAATCTAGGAATCAAATGAATCGCGTGAACTATCCTGCGTCCTAAGTAAACTACTAGCTACCTAGCTTCTACTAGCTACCTACCTCTCCTCGCAGCCTACCCCCCTTTAAAAGACACGATCAGGATTTTATGTTTTTGTGCATTGGGAGGCTCGAAGTCCTGGGACTTGATCCTTCTGACTCTCCTAGCTCCGCAGAAGTAAAGAAAGCATTCCGGTGTCTCGGCATATCTGGAAGAGTCTGGTGAGCAATATTGTGTCTTCATTTGCATACATGAGGCGCAAAGTGGCCCGCCTTCACCCTGACTTGAAAGGTATGCAGCTTGCTTTTTTTGCATCATGATGTGACTATGTGTGTTTTTGGGGGCTGCATTGCAGGCGGAGATTCTGGACCAGAGTTTCTTGAAGTTTTAGATGCATATGCAGTGTTGACTGGACGTCAGCGCTTGGCACTTAGCTGCGCATAATTATCAATTGGATTGTATTGTATGGCTTCTGTGAGGGGCGCAGTGTGCAGACTATCTTTAACATGCAGTTGGAGAAGTCCGAAGAGTCAATGTCAGAAGAAACCACCCATATTCCGTTTCTTGCCTCATGTTCTGTTTCCTCGCAGCAGCTGTGCAGACATTGCTTGAGAAATACGGACCGTTCAGATCCTGGATAACCCAATAGCTGAACAGCCTGGCCAGGTGTCTCAACGCCGGCTCCCAATGGCCTTTCCGGGCCACGAACTTATGCTGAACACGACTTGCGCTTCAGATGGGAATGATGGCTCAAGATTGATCAAAATCGCGTCAAATAACTGTATATCTTGGAAGTTTCTTTCGGATCAGGTTTGACATTCAGCGAACGAGCAAGGGCAAAACAGACACCGAGCGGGAAGCGGAGTTTCAGAGGCCCTGGTGACTTTCGGTGCTCTTCTATTTATATAAATAGATAGATAGATAGATAGATAGATGGATCGAAAGTTTGTTCTTGAGAAGCACCTGGCCTGTCCTGCATGGCAAGAGTCTCCCTGCACCAACAAGAAGAGAACACAGGACTCATGTATAGCATCAAATACAGTAAATTCAGAATGTGACTTTTGCATGTTGAGTACTGCTTCACAGGACTTTGGATGTTTTGTACTTTTGCCAGGCCCGGTAACTGGCGCTGGGACCAAAACACAGGATACAATCCTAGAGATCTCAACGAGGCTGGGCTATGGGTCTACTAGTCTATGAGGCTTCCGTTGCCTTTGTAGTCACTGTCAAGCAACAGAGTGGCAACAGCTTTCCTCCAAAGCATGGTCTTTCTTTCTGCTTGGCCCAGGAAGGCTGCAAGTCATTCGGTGCGTATCCCTTTCATGCATGCCCAAAATTTATTCGCCCGTACTTGACCGTGAAAAGTCAGAGATATTGGGGTTGGTTCCGTTGTTTATTCAGTCTAGTCTTATTGCTATTTAAGGTTCAGTCAACTCCGGCAACGCTTGACCAAGTTGCCAGCAACCCTACCGCTCCCTCACACGAAGATCTCGCAACTATTTTTCTCGACCGGTTACAGGTCCAATATGTTTTGATTGAATCATCCCCCGTATGGGTATGCCCCAACACCTGCACAATGCATGTCTTTCTTCTTATGACAACGAGATCATGTTTTTCAACATCGTTAAAGTTTTAAAGATCCTTGGGCCGATCTCATCTTATGAGCAAGCGAGCTTCAGGCTTTTGCCATGCACTGGTACATGCCAAGTGCATCTACGGATGTCAGGTTCAGCCCCCCTTCTAATAAACAACTACGTTTGTTACGAGCTTCTGTTGTCAATGTGTTGGATTTTCCAGCTGTAAGATGAGGGCCCCACTTCTTGTATTGGCCTCTACTGCTGCCACTTTTCTGCCAAATGGGCCATTCATCCCACCTACTTACATCGTGATTTTGGTTCTGCATCACACTCAGCTTGTTTGCCACAGAGTCCAAACTAGAACCGCTCCCAATTCGAGATCCTCCTTTGTTTTTGCTTTCGTTTCGGCACAATTGGACGCTGCAGCTTCCTAACATTTTGTTATTCTTTGTCTTTGCACAGTCAGTTGTGGCCATGATGACCTGACCAAGCATTTCAGCCACATGGCTGACGCCTCCTTGCTCAAAGATGCCTATCAACCTCAGCTCACATCGACCCTTCGCCACCTTCCCCCAACTTGGGGCAGGTGCTGGCACTCACACGTATTCCAGTGGCCGGGAAAATGTTCACAGGTCCATGACTTTTGGCGGCTGTCTGCGGAGAAAGGGAGGCTTATGATGACCTCGTTTGCTTGGCACACCTTGGTCCCGTATTGCTGCTGCCGCTTCGTCAGTGTTCAGTCCCATACGAACCAAGTGGGTGATACTTTGCTTGTTGCTGAACAAATACAAATCCTGGCTTTGCTGGTGGATGATGGCATGGTCCTGGTCACCAAAGGTGATGTGTGCACAGCCAGGGGCAGATGCTGGTCGAGTGGTCCTTTGTTGCTATGCACAGCTGTGGTCTCGGGTGAAACGATTCTTCGCGAAGCTACTTGTCGGTTCAGATCCGTTTTCAAAAGGTGTCCTGTTTTGTTCTTTTCGGTGTGTCGTTTCTGTGACTGCCTCTGTGTTTCACCGTACTTCCGAATTTGTGGAGACTTCCTTCCTTTGTACCGTCTGGGACTCTGGTATGTTTGTGCAAACGCATCCCATCTGCACTTTGAGACAATTGTTTGAACTCTTTCCTGTGGGCTGCCCTTCCACTGCGGATGTAAACGAGTTTCGCAACTCCTTTGCAAAGTAGTGCTTCGAGCCCTTGGGTGACTGGCATAAACGGAGCAGCAAGAAAAGACATATTTTTTGTTCTCCAAGAAGCATGATCAACTTCTATACATGGACAGTCTACATGCCACATGTTTTGTATGTCTCACTGCAGCCGCTTCCTTTGTCCTTTGTTCAAACCTGACAGACTTCAGGGGTCAGGTGAACAGATTGTCCTGCTTAACTTTCACCTTTGGGAGAATGGTACTGAGATCACTTACATACATCTAAGAACTTTGATTCTCTCTCATGGTAGCGGAGCTGTGGTTGCAAGAGCCCAGGTAAGGCACTTTGGGTCCTGGCTCCGGAGATCCAAGCAACAAGCATCACGTGCTAACTGCCGGACTGTTTCAGTCAGGGCAAGCAAGCGTGCTCAAAACTAGCAAGAGCTTTGATCCGTTACTGCGCCTCTCTTCGCGCTTGACATGGAGACCCCTGCCCCAACAAAGACTTCAGCGGCTAAAGTCAAAGCAGCCGAAGGACCAAGACCTGGCAGCAGCAGGCCAAAGGCCAGCAAAGGAGTTTGGACCTCAAGGCAGCCGTTCGTGAGGCTGTGATCCAAGGCCAACAAGCCGAGCTGGGCCATGGACAATGTGTTTTCAGGGCAAGACTTATTGATGGAGACCGACTGTGGAGTGTATCGACTTCAGATCCCCTTTCACCGGCGCCAAGCTAGATGCAAGGTCGAGGCCAGTGCAAGCGCCACCGATGAAATGGAGGTTGTGGATGAAGGCACCGTGGCCCCATTGTGCTCCAGCGAAGAAGAGGTTGAAGAGAAGTGCACCTCTTTTCACGTTTTCCTCCCCGACCGTGGTCTGAAGCATGCGCTGGGAAAGACAAAAGCAGTTTCACAAAGAAGAGGAGACGGCTCGGATGAGTTCGCCCCTCTGACTATTGTTTCATGGCCCAAGGAGCAGTGACACGCTTTACAGACCAGTCCAAGCGTGCACCAATCCAACCACCTCCTGTTGGCGCATGTTTTACTCACAACTAAGAAACTGGCTCAGCCGAAGATGATTCTCAGACGCGATTCCGGACCGGCTGTTACGTGACATGTGGAGGCTGTTGGGAAAGGATTCGTAGGATCGTTGGTCTTGGAAAAGAGCCCGAGAGGAGCCAAGGAATGCCGACAGGGGCGGACAATCCGCGCGTTGCGCGAATCAAGTCAAGTTATGGCGAAAAGCTTCCTGTCAACCCACCAGGCTTGACTTGGTTAGTTCAACGTGCATCAACGTTGTTTACATTTTGTTCTTCCGATCAACTGAAATGGAAGACGGGAGATGGTGGAGTCACGTCTTTGTGGGCGAACCGGTGAGTAGGGATTCCACCTGTTGGGAAAACAGTCGAGAACCTCAAACGTGGACGGACGCAAGGTTGAAGCGCAATGGTCAAAGGATTTTTCTGGGAGTCAAAGACAACGGCGCAGAGTGTGAGGGGTGTTCCGCAGGGGCAGAGTATGACCTTGCCAGTTTCAGGCACACCTTGGTCCACACACTGTCCGCGAGGAATCAGCCGCAGTTGCCCAAAGACTGTGTTGTTGCAAGTCCGCCTGCGGAAGCGCAGAAACACGCGCCTATTGAAGACAAGAAGCTGAAGCTGAAGAGGCTTCATACCACCGGATACACAGCAGGTTGACCGTGATGCTACACAGATTGGCACGAGATTTTGAAAACGCAGTGTTTTCAATCCGCCGTGCTGGAGGGCCTGATTGGCCCACCGTTTGGCTTCGCGTGACATGAAACCATGTAGATGAGAGTCGATGAGACGTCTGATAGGAAGGTAACGGAGTGATAGAGTGCTTGACACACTTAATCCAGACAAGCCAGTGTGTGAAGACGAGGTTCCATTGCCTGAAATTTGGCAGAAGAAGCAAGAGACTAGTGAGGACTAGTGACTATGAGGAGATCACTTGCAAAGAACCCAAACCAGACAAGGTCGAGCAAGCAAGAAAAATCGACGTCGCTGAAACGATGTGAGTTTGGGAGGGTCAAAGTTCCAATTCCAAAAGGAGCAAAAACCTTTGGCGCCACTGGGTCCATGTGAGCAAGCACGATGAGGCAAATCCGCTCTAAGGAGTAGCCGAAGAGATCAGCAGACGCACAGGCTGCCATGATTTCTTCGTGGCTATGCCTGGCTTAGCTGTTTTGAACTTGCTTCTCCAGCCGGGAACACAGAGATAGAGAGAGAGAGATAGAGAGAGAGAGAGAGAGAGATATTTTTCTGGAGAGAGAGAGACAGAACGCGCGGGCTTCTTTCTTGAAGGCGACCAGAAGACCCTAGAACAAGACCCTTAGTGAAGGGAAGAAACCAGAAGATGGAGATGTTGTAGATCGATGGCCGCCTCTTTGAATTGAGGACTGACCGTATGAAGAAGTTTGGATTTTTGCAAACGGCACGGCAAACCATGACATGGAGAACTCCGAACAGAAGTGTTGTCCCTATTTCACAGCGTTTGCAGTAGAGACGAAGTTGAACATTATATAGACGGTTCTATAAGAATGGCAAGTTGTGGAACGAGGGGTTCGCGGCCACCTGGATCACCGGGAACCAGATCCACGACATTCAGATTTGATCATGAAGTGGCTAGGAACTGGACAACCAGGCAATGTCGCCGTTGGCCGAACTAATGCAAACATGTATATAGACCCATTGCAACTCGCTCATTTGCACAATGGCTTCAATGTCCAACGTCGAGCCGTTGGAGCATGTTGAAGCGATTGGTGTGACACACTCGCTACCGACCCAACGTCGCGCGCCCCACGTTGCATTTTTCGAAACCAATCCGCGTACTATACTCAGGTTGCGCCCGAACACGGAAAGTGTTTTAGGAGGCGTGCTCATGGCCAACAGGTGCTGTTGACAACATACAGCACAGGCCAAAGGAGTTGTCTCATTAGCAGTGGCGAACCTGAGTGTTCTGGCTTAGCTTCAGGAGCTTGCCAGATGCTGCAACGGTTTGGGGACTTTATCCAACGAAGTGTTTTTGGACGCTTGTCATAGGTTTGGGACGAGCAATTCAGGTTCCGACTGCTAGCGTGTCCCCATAGCAAGCCAGCCGCCGAAGACAAGATGAACGTGGTGACCAACGCGCATCATGAACTTCCAATTCCTGGAAGGAGAGCATGATTCGGCGTTGCCGGCATAGACGGCTTCAGCTTGGCTAATTTCTTGCTGCGCGAGAGGTACCGAGAGTGGCGTTAGCTTAAGGGACGACACCCATGTTTGGCCCCCCCAGGAGCTAAGCCAAGCTTGGGAGGCGTGATCAGATGTTGGATCGCCCAGATGGGTTGTAAACAAGCTGTTTACTTTGCTTTGTTCAAGGCGGCTGGCAGACTTCAGGGCGCAGCTGACAGGCTCGTCCTGCTTAATTTCAACCCTTGGGAGAGCTGCGTTGAGATCACTTACCTTTAAGAGCTTAAACTTTTCGTTCATTTCACGATGTCTCTGCACTTGCGTGAAGCAAGATCCTGGTGTGAAGCTCACTATTTCGTTTCAAAAACTGTGAACCCTTCTTTTTTCGCGCCCCAACAGCAGCAACAGCCCTGCTCCATTCCAACTCAACTACATCTCCCATGACATGTGCTGCAAGGACATGGCCGCCGCCATCTAATTTAATTGCTGCTGCCCTGAAAGGCAACGGGAATTGCCACTGGTTGTTCACCCTTTCGCATGGATTGGCTTGGGTTGCTTGCTGAGACATCTTGCTGTGGGGGAGCAGGCGCTTGCTCTATCTGCTGATTTGGTGGTGTTCCAATTCTTATGGGTGTGAAACTGTGGCTCAAGGCTTTGCGTAACGCAATAGACCTTACACACTTTTGGTTTTGCTCCCGTTGTTCTGCTTTGCTCGTCTCCTGACACACCTCCAGTACCGCTTATCAACCTTTCGTTCACTTTTCCCGGCGCGTCTCATAGCTGGGCTTCCTCGTGCGACATAAGCCGCTGGCCACGCAATTCACTGCGTTTTACACTAGCCAGCGCTCCAGCCCCAGCAGTTTCGTCGACGAAAGAGCAGCGAACATAGCTAGTGCGCCCAGCGCAAGCAGATCATAGCCTCCAGTCAGGCCAATCTTTAATCAGTGCCGCGCTCTGGCAGGTATGGGATGAGATAGGCTACAATCCGTACACTGGCGAAACATGGTTTCAAGAAGAACTAAGCAGGCCGCTGTTGGTGTTTACAGGATGCAAACTCAATTACACATACGCATGATGCAATGAATCCTTGTTGACCGAGGAATACCGTGAGCCGCCTCCAAAAGCAGAGGTAGAGGCTTATGGTGCGAGATTGAATTTTTGACCGTAGCTGGCCTTGTTGGTTTTGCTTTGCGCAGGAACCATGGGTGCCGGAACCACCAAGCTGAGAACCAAGTACTCTGAAAAATCAGATGACTCAATGACCTTCACCCTCCCGCTCAGGTGCAGTGAAACCTTCTCCACAAAGACCGAAATCAAGGCTGTTGCAGTGGTTTCTGCCAAGTACAATCAGTCCTGTACACATACAGTGCAATTCCGGCAAATGACTTCAAATGACATGAAACACAAGTTGCCGATGTTTGTTTCATAGCTTGGGTTGGTTCAGCATGCCAGGCTTGCTGCATGTGGACATGCGCGTATATATATATATAACATACACATATATATATATATTAGATATACACATGCGAATCATTTTCGGTGCAACCCATCGGAGAGGTGTATTGCGTGACTGACGTCACAGATTGTACAGTTGAACACACCTCAGCCCTTTTAAGAAAAGGTGCGTATGGTAGCGGAGCTGAGAAGGAGGTATCCTCGGACCCCTCTGGAGCTCTGATTGAAAAGCGCCTAGGTCATTGGGATTCCGGGCGCGATTGTGATAGATTTGGGGCCTTTGGAACGCAAGCAGCTGAATTGGTGAATAATATATATTGCGAGCAACACTCTGTACCGAGTACATTGTGTCAAAGAGACATCACTGTAGTACAAGGAGATGATGGAGGAGGTCAGGGAAATCCTTCAGAGTTTAGCGCAGAGTACGCTGGCAACAACAGCAGCTGAGGCAGTGAAGAAAGCGGTTGAGGACAAGAAGTCATCGACCGCAGAGTGGTCAAAATTGATAGCAAAGCTAAACATCTGTGGCTTGACAAGTCGCAGGATGAAGAGATCAAGAAGTACCTGAGCGCAGTTGATGAGGGCTATATGAAAGACTTGAAGGAAACCCACGAGAAGCCAAATGACAAGTTTGACTCGGAGTTGGCTGATGATGCAGAGAAGACTAGGCGCATCAGGTTCTATGGATTGTTAGCTTCATTGACGAGAGGCAGGGCGCTGCACTTGGTGAAAGCTGTGGAAGACTCTAATGGGTTTGATGCCTGGAGGCCTTGCGCCCTTGGGAGCAGCCACTGCGTGGCCAGCGTTTTCAATGAATAGTGCACTACAACCTCAACTCTTGAAGCTTGAAGAGGGATTTGATGAGACTGTCAAGGCAGGTACTACAATTCAGGAAGGGTTGAAATCTGCTATTCTTTTGAGATGCGTAGATGGTCAACTCAAGTCCTATTTGAACTTGACAATTGGTGACAATGTTCAATACCATCCTTTTCATCATGCTCTCACAATATTCAGGCCGCATTAGCCACTCCTAAAAAGTGGTTCTCATCAGCTCTGCTGATTCTTCCACTTCTGGAGTGACTGTGGGATCCACAAACTTTGACAATAAGCTCCCCACTAGCAGTCCATGTTCATTGAATCTCCAACCCCCCAAGCAGTTCTCATCTTCATCTCGAATGACCCCAGTGTGGCCCTGAACTGTCAAAGAGCGACTTTGTAGGTTGAGCGGTACCTTCAAGTCACCATTCTCCAACATTTGCTCTCTGCTGTTGATTCCCCAACCATGTTCCATCAACCTTCCATAACAAAGTGTGGGCTGATTTACCTTGGAGCTGAAGATCACATTCTCTTTGAGAAGAACTTCTCATCCATCAGGTCACGCAAGGAATTTTCAACACTTTTCGCACTTCCTATGGATACGATTTCCTTGACCATCTGGTCGCTTGGTCTTTGTACTCTCCTTCCCCGTGATCTGCCATACTGAAAGGGAATCACGCTACACCTGCCCCACTGTCAATAATGCTGGCCACATCCTCACGCTCTTCCCCAAGTCTTCTCACCATGGGTTCATCATCTGAGATGTCAATTTCTTCAACTTCCTGGAATTCTTGCTCATCATCACCATCTCCAACGTAGAAGTGAATTACTCGAACTCCTTGGTCTTCTAGCTCATCATCTCCCTTTCTCAAGTCAAAGATGATTGCCTCACGCTTCACAATTCTCTTGACTACTGGCTTGGTCTCTGCTGAGCTCCCTTGTTGGCTCACACTAGCATGTTGTTGACCAACTGTATGAGTCGTCACTGATTCTCCTCCCTAAGATGAATGTGCTGGATCACCTGCTACCTGTTGAACTCCATCAGTCTTTGCCTAGATGTCCTGCCTTTCCACAAGTGTACCACACTGCCACACCTTTGCCTTTCTGGTCTTTGCCTTTGCCTTTACCCTTATGTTCACCTTCTTTTCCTTTCTGATCTCCTTTCCCTTTCTTTCCTTTGCCCTTGGCATCTTTACCTTGTCCTTTCTGATGGTCACCCTTGCCCTTCTTACCTTTCCCTTTGGCATCTTGGAATCGATCAACGTCTACTGGCATAGGCTCTTGGTATTCTGTACTGCTACTAGCCACGGAAGTAGCCCGCTTCTGCTGAGATCTATCCCATTGCAACACATCTTTCCTCAAAGTTGGAACTTGATGAGCAGTTCGTTGATGATGATGCAGCCTACTTTTTGGGAGAAGGAGGTAGGACGCCAGAGAGAAGAGGATAAGAAGGATGAAGACCTTGAATGTGAACCACAATTGAGCCCAATGGATGTAGACATAGTTTTGGTGAATGGAGTAGAGTTGACTAAGGATTCATCTTTGGGATGAGGGCAGCGCGTTCATCTCTCGGCGCTTCAGGCAGTGGCTCTATGCTAAGGTCTACGCGTGAGTGAAGCAAAAGCTCAAGAAACAAGAGAGGCGTTAGGACAAAGCGTGGCAAAGGTGCCAGATGAAGCAACTCAAGCGAGACACAGATTGACGCACGCGCCATATGCCAATTATTGTATAAGGAGCGTATTGAACGTCGAGCGCGGCCAGATCGCCATGAGAGTACAGATGGAGTGAAGAGAGGAAGTGTTCCCGAGATAAGCTTTGACTTTTGCGATGCAAGAGCAAGAGACTCAGAAAGAAAGTTAGCAAGAGCAGTATGTTGGCTACCGGACTATGGTGGCAAAGTGAGCCGAAAGAGGCATTTTAGGGTCTCACATCGCCAAGAAGGAGCGTGAACTATTTTCAGTGCAACTCATAGGATAGATGTATTGCATGACTGACGTCACAGATTGTACAGTTGAACATACCTCAGCCTCTTTGAGTATCAAGAAAAGGTGCGTAATATATAGTTTGAAGCAGACACACAGTCCAGGATGAAGAGGTTTCAGCGTTTACAGAGTCGAGATGTTTGTTGTCGGTTTGCTGCTTCACTTGGGAGAGGCCACCGAGATTGGAATTTGGCCTTGCACAGGTCACTTACTAAGTTCTTAGAAGTCTTATGCGTATGGTTTTGCTACATTAAAATACAAAATTGGACTTCCACAATCCAGTATGTCCAGTTTGCCGTTGCCCAGGCGAGGGATCTTCCGGAACCGCTTCCGGTGCTTCAGATTCTTGGATACCTGCTCCTTGCAGCAGTGTCCTGGACCCAGGAAAGGCTTGCTCGCCAGGAAAGTTGCAGCGTATGCGCTAGAGAAAGTTGTCACAGCTTGCCGCTTGCCCTACTAAATGAGCAACCCCCACCCAAAGCAGCGTGTATAACACCTGTTGTCCCTTACTCGCAATGTTTCCTTCAACCACTTTGCCTGTCCACCTTCAAAAGTTTATCGCGCGTCTCATGGAGTTTACGCGTTATCATATTGGAGTAATCTTCAAATTTGTGGAGTCGCTGCCGGCCGTTTTCCTTCCTCATGCTGCTCGCCAGCTGTTTGCGCAGATATACGCCACGCTGAAATTCCGCATGGCAAGATGCTATTGTACGATACAAAGTCATCGTCCACCCTTGTCGATGGACCTTTGCTTTGGCGCCCTCGAAATTTGTAACAAGTGTGCTGTTTGCAGCCGAGGTGCGCCTTCTTTGCCCTGTCTCCTGAGCAGCTGTGGGGGTCCAAACACGCTGGGGCACGTTTCTGTGAAGCTGTGCTTTTGCTTTGCGAGGAACAGGTTGGTGCGTCAGACAGAAGCAGTTGCGTCTCCTAGGTTGTCGGAGGAAGAGCGCGCCAAGCGCTTGGAAGAGTTGGAAAGGCGAGAGGAGGCGCAGGCCCAGCAGCGCCAACAGCAACTTGGCACGTCGCAACCAGAAGAGCTGAACCGATTCTCTATTTTCAAGAATGGTTCTACACAGAACGCCGACGTTTGTGGTAACATGGCAGTCGCGTTTTTGAAAAGCAAAAGGTTTCCTTTGCTTTTCGTGCGAGTGCGTGAAGATCAGTTCCGAAAGCGTGTTCAAGAGATGTCAAGAGGATTTCCAACACAACGACTATCACGGCAACAGTCTCGAACCACATAGCCACTCCAATGAAAACGTGCTGGCTATAGTACCGGAACAACAGGTCAGGAGTTCATTGTTTGCAGGTGCGTGTGGTTGATATCACCATGCCCCACACCAGGCGGTTGGGCTCCCTCCACCAACAATACGCTGGGAATCTATTTGAAACCCACAAGGGAGCATGCGCGCGCGCACACGCTCAAGCTAATGCGTACTGACTCGATTGCGGTTGGCCACGCGCCAACCTAAGTGACAAACCAAAGGAGCCACGGTGAGTAACGTAAAGCGTTCGGACTCTGAGGTGATCTTGTTGTAGTTAAAACGGGGTTGATTAGGAAGCGCAAAGTCATCACAAGCAGGTACGTCATCAGGCGTCCCTGATGATATCCTAGGATCGTACAAGGAGCTTCGTTGGATGGAGCCTCATACGTCCTCTCCATCCCCCTCCGTCTAACAGTGACAACTCTAAAACAACAACCTAAAGAAATTCCAACAAAACCCTATAATTCCAAGGGCTTCACAAACACGCCTCCTGATGAGGGAGGCAGAATTACTTAGTTAAATGTGCAGTTGTGCGCGCAGCAGGACAAAAAGATGAAGACATGACAAGGAGGACGGGACAGGGCAAAAGTGCGTGGTTGCCATGAAGGGGAAATGGTGTGCACAGGGACGGCGGCCCTCCGCTCCTTTGATGAGCAGGTCCACCGCTCCTTCCAAACCTTGAGCGGACTGCGCCCTACGGCTTCCCAATGGAACCAAGCCTCACGCGACGCGGAGTTGCTCAGTGGCTGGGCTGGGTCTTCGCAGCACTGCCCGCGACAGCGCTGCGGCCTTCTGTTGGTGGCAGCGGTTTGGATGCCTCCTACACTGCAGTTGCTGACAGCCATGCTGCTTCCGCTTTGGCCTCCTTGTAGCTGGAGCCGAATTGTCCCTGGATGCCCCTGCCATGAAGCAAAGGTTCGTGGATGCGCCACCTGGCCTCCTCTACGGTTGCCGCCAAGGCTTGCTTTCTGAGGCTGAGGAGGGGGCGCGAGCTTTCCTCGCCGCGGTCCCATGTGGGCGTACGCGGATGGAGCCCGCCCTCTTCGTGACCGAGGTGGGACAGCGTCTTGGTATCGCCGACGCGGCCGCGGATGGCTGGTGCCCCAAGTGCGACGCCGTCCTCGACAAGCGCTCCTATCACTCTGCCGTTTGTGTCGCTGGAGGCGAACGGCGACACTCGCAATGCCCTCCATGATCACCTGTGTTGGTGGGCTAACTCCCACACGACCCTGCTTCGGCCCGACGCCCAGCTGACATCTACACATTGTGAGCCCTTTGGAGTTTGTCGACTCCGACGTGATCGGGGACAACCAATGAACCCAACCCGCATTGTCAAGACCTGGCCCACCTGAAACCTGGGTTGAAGGTACGTTGTGCGCGAATATGCTGAGGGCCGGGCAGTGTGCGCAAAAGAAAGAAAGAAGAGACGACGGAACATGAAGGCGGAAGGACATGAAAAGAAAAGGAAAGAAGAAGTGTGTGAAGGGGAAAAGGATGAAAAGGGAACCAAATCGAGGGCCGGAAACCGATGAAGCCAAACCTCTTTAAACACCTAGGAAGACCTGCCTTGTTTGTGCGCGCTGTGTGTGCACCCAAGGTGGCGACAGACCCCAGTAATTCTTGAGAGTCATTGAGAGTTCTACGGCCGCTGCGGCCAAGTACGCCGTGCCAAAATGGCTGGCTGCTCAGACCGCTGTGGTCACCTCATGGCGTGCCCGAGGGCTGCCTACTTGTATTTAACAATTTGTCAAGTCTTGGCAAGTAACTTTGGAGCAAGCCTGCTTTGTCCGCCGCGGACTGCTCTGTATCCGGGCAGGTGATATGGTAGACAAACCCCCGTTCGACGGGGCCACAGGACACTCCTCGGGTACACCTTGGGCTGACCTTATAAGGTCAGACACACTGAAGATAATGCGTACTGACTCGATTGCGGTTGGCCACACGCCAACCTAAGCGAAAAGCCCAAGGAACCAGGGTGGGTATACAAAGCGTTCGGACTCGGAGGCCCAAAGAAAACCTCCAAGAAATTCACCAAGTTCAAAGAGCTCGAAAAGCGGACGAGGGCGACAGAATGACGACGGATCGTGCACATCTGTAGAGCCCGTTAGCACTTGACTTGAGTGAGCCCTTGCAATGGCTGGTGATCTTGTTGTAGTTAAAGCGGGGCCCATTGGGAAGTGAAAAATCATCACAAACAGGTACGTCATCGGGCATCCGTGATGATATCCTAGGATCGTATGGAGCTTCGTTGGATGGAGCCTCATACGTCCTCTCCATCCCCCTGCATCTAACAGTGACAACTCTGAAACAACAACCTGAAAAACTTCAAAGGAAACCCTATGATTCCAAGGGTTTCACGCACACACACACACATACGCACGGAGCTGAAGTTCTAGCTGCTAAGGCTACTAAGGCGGGGCTTATCGAATGTTAAACTCAATTCTTGCAACAGACCTTTGCAATCCTTTCTATCCATCGACTGCTGAAGAAATATGCTGCCGGTACGGGGTTGTCCTCCGTCCAAATATCATATTTGGACAGCCAAACTCAAGAAATTGCTGACATGGAATGCGCACTTGTTAGGCCGTTTTGCTAATGCCTGTTGGTGGCACTTGTGACATAGCTTTCAGTTCATTTTCCTTCATGTGCTCGGCTCGCGGCGACTTGGCTGACTTCCGATTGCTCGTTTTGTAGTCTCATCATTGTCACCAAGGCGAGCAGCTTTGGAGATCTTGTGGAGACAACGTGAGAGGCAATGGCAGATGGAACAATTGAAGGCGCAACTGAGCCTCCAAGGGCTTTGCTTAGTTCGTCCACGGGCGTCATGTGTTTGTAGACACATCAAGCATGTCAATGTGAAGGGGTTTGCTGAGTATGCGGATCCCATAGATGAGCCTAGGCCTGAGAGGATTTCGAATTTCAGTTGAGCATTCAACACCCAAAAGCTTGTGCCCGCTTGCGCATGTCCAGGGAAGAGGCTGCGTTTGATGCAGCAAGAAACCCGATTGGAACAGATTAAGCTTGCTTAGGGTCTGTTGGGCGAGCAACAAGCTCGAAACCAGCAGAGAAAAACAGTGAAGAAATCATTATTGCAGCTCCACCAATGAGAGTGGGTGTTGCAAACGTGGTTGCCAAAGAGTGCAGCCTATCTTCCCACCCAAGGGTTGCGGTTGCGGCATGCTTTTGGCTTGTGGTCATTTTCTGGGCCTCAAAGGTGGACCAAAATACACACGGACTCAGGATTCAAGCAGATCAGAAGCCAGTGCATGTGCACAGAGACATCGCACTTGCACTTTTGGGAACATTTTCAGCAGAGTTTTCTGCACTGCTCTGTTGACATGATTGGGCCTCGACTCCAAAATGCCGGCAAAACAGCAGACAAGAACAGACAGTAAGCGATCAGAACCTTGTTCGGAACTCAGTGCTTTGAAGCTAATGAGCTACAAATCTCACGCATTTGACGCATTTTGGCTCAAATCCAAATAAATGCACAGCCCTTCAGTTATTTTGAATTGGCAAAGACGTCACATGTCAAGCTTGCAAGAGCTTCAAGACAAGGCCTGGGACAAACAAAGCAACAAAGTGCTTGTTTACTTCGTGAGTATGCCACCTGTTGCTTCAGATGAGGTCGCGGACCTTCAAAAACAAAATGAAATCCTGGGTGGATACCTCAATGACCCGAATGAGCAGAAAGATGAGATTGAATTTCAAGCTTCAGGCATGGAAAATGAGATGCTTGCCGACTATCTTCAGAGAGATGCAGAACGTACGTCTGGCCTAGAAGACAATGATGAGGACACAGTGTGGTGTGAAGCCAAAACCAGTTTTGTTTGGTCTATATAAATTATGTGGTGTTTTTTGGAACAGAGTTTGTTATTCTCAGTTCCTGTGGAGACGCATAGACAGTGCAGGCATTGTCCGACCTTCCGTCATCTCCTGTAGACAAAGGCAAGAAGGCGGGTTTCCATTGTTGCCCCACTATCATTTGAGCTGCCTGGTGAGTTGTGGCAGGCAGCAAAGGGTCGCCAGGGGCAGCAGCAATTGCCTCAAGCTTGCCACTACTCGAAAGGAAGCATTGCCCTCCAATACCTAGCTTGCTGTAGTGCTGTAGCCATTTTGTACGATAAGGCGCAGACAGCTCCCTACAGTGCTCACGTTGGAGGAAGCGTTGCACAGATCCCAAAGACGAAGCTACATTTTTTGATACAATCCTGTGTGTCAGACATTTTGCTCAGCTTTGAGGTGAGTGAATGCAGTAGGCACAAAAACAAGCATGTGTTTCCAAACCGTGATGTCGCGATACAACCCCCCAGGAATAATTGGCAGAACTGATCTCTGGGCAATTTGACACCAACCTTTTTGGCAGGACAAGTTCCGGATAGCAAACCAGGAGGCAAAGTTCCAATGAATGACAAACTTTTGAGGCTGTTTGTTCGTTTTGTGAGCTTTTGTTTGCAGCTTGCAGATGGAAGCTTTAACAAAAGACATAGCTGGGAGCACAGCCTTACCAGCAGCCCAGCACAGTTGTTGACTTTAAAGGAATGGTGGCAAACTTTGCTTGCACTTCTGATCTACTGTAAGAATATTCAGGAAGACAATGGTTTGTTACAGTAAGTAGTGGCTCTCAAAAGAGGTCTGTATTCTAAACTGCATGGGTTTGCAATAGCAGAATGTCCGGTTTCATTTCAGTTGAACGTTGTTAAAAGCTCGTTCAAGTTTGACATGTCGGTTGGAATTGGCTTTGAGCAGCTCCTGGGTCTCGTCCATGAACCAGCATGTGTACCTGCCGTTCTCTGTCCATGGACTTCCATTTAGCGGAACGGGAGCAAGCAGCTTCACCTGCTTTTCCTCTTGGAGAACACAATCAGAGATAGAAAAGCGGAAAAGCACATCCTCGATACGGCTCTGCCAGTGGTGTACGCCGAGATTTGCTCGAGCTTTGGCTCATGGCATCACACTGTGTCTCGTGCGAGCCACGCAGCTCCGAGTGCGCCAAAGAGCCGATCGAACACAGTGGACACCGCCCAAACGCAGATCCCTTAGTGGAACGAAACTTGGCCAAAGCAAAGCAGTGAAGCAAAGCAAAGACACCAAAGAGGACAGCATAGCATTGCACGGTGTCACAAGTGCTTTTGCAGCTTTGGCGATGAATGAACGAAATACTTTGGTCTTTATTCGTTGAATTTTGAGGACACAAAGAGTAAGAGCTCGATTGGTCTTGAGAGCTCGGAGCAAGTTGAGTTGCCATGTTTCTCCATGCGAGACCCTTATGCTTCGCTGTTGCTGCTTGGTCAAAGCAAATAAAGGCTTATACTAAAGGAAGGCAAGTCTGCGAGGTCAGCTGCATCTCAAGGTATGCAGGCTGGCCAGGCTCAGAGGTCCTTGAATCAAAGTCGACATATATTCAGGTGTGCAAAGCAACAGTTCCACATTGTATTCAACCCTTTCAGGTTGCATGGAGTGAAGACAGTGGAGACGCGGAACTGGCCAATGCTCAAAGATACTTCTGGTCGATGTCTAAGCTTATCACATTCAGTTGAACTGATTCTGGTGATGAGTTATGCAGGCCCTTGTCTTTTGCACATCGGCTACAAGACCATGGATGAGAGCGTCTTGGAGCTCAGCTCCACTAGCTACAGTGTAACATCGTTGGGTTCATTGTTGGGTTCACTTTGCACATTATTTAATGTTTTTTGAGGCGGCCTGGGAGTTCCTTTGGCGAAACGACCTTGCTGACTCGAAGGATTTGGAGCGCCTCCTGTCGCCTCCACCGGGCTTGCAGCGCGGCCAGGTGCAAGGGTTGACTTGAAGAAACCTGATGACTCTAGGGAACTCCCAGAAGTTTTCCCGGTTCTTGCTGAGCACCCATTCTCAAAAGCTGTTTGTGTTTTGGTCCCACTTGCCAAGCATTGGACGAGTGTCGCTGGAGCCCGTTGGTGTTTCGAGTGTGACATCCAGTACTCAGTCATTTGCAGAAAAGAACTTCAAAGTTTCGCAGGTACAGTGGAATCGTTTCTTGACAAAACTAAGAGATGAGTCGGTTTTCAATGTGCGACGCACTGGACTACAAGACTCGTAAGAAGAGTGCGTATGCAAGAGGTGATGAAGTGGGATTGGGGAATGACATGAAGTGAATATTTAAGTAAAAAAGACTGTTCTTGAAAAGGAGCTGGAAAAATAAGAAGGTAGGACTCCTTTTAAAGGGGCACTTCCTTTGCTTCCCAATCTCTTTTTGGACTCCGGGCCCATGGGATAATGGAGTGAATACAGAAGACTGCCCTTTGAACTCAACTGCAAAGACACAGATTCCGAGTCCAGATTTCATAAGTGGCCCGTAGCTCAAAACCTCTGTTTGCTCCAAGTCAGTCGAAGTCTTCTGCCCACTTCCCCAACATGTGGATGTAATATGATGGGTAAACGGGGGGTTTGCCCGGAAAGGCAAATTTTTCGATGGCTCATGATGCGTGCTTCCAGGGGGGTTGGGGGTCGGGGGTGGGGGTTGCATGATGCGTTACGGACATGATGCGGATGATGCGCTGATGCGTTTTTTGGACGTGATGTGGGTGATGCGCTGATGCGTTACAGATAAGGTTTGTTGCGGGCCTCCATATTTGGTTGGTGGAGGGTGCGGCGGGGTTGGCGGTGTGGTGTGCCCTGTTGGATAGGCTTTTTGTGTTTGCCTATCTCCGCCTCAAAGTTTGGCGTGAGTGTGAGTTTATCAGCTGTGCGTCTGTCAGGTTCTTGGCCTGCTTGACTTGGAGAAGACCTATCAGTGATCCGCTTGTTTTGAAGGGTTGAGGAGGGCCTAGCAGCAAAGCTGCATTGACAGGTACTCGGAGGAAGAGATGAGGCCCCTCGTCAGTGTGTTGTTTCCGCAGAACGCCCATTTTCGGTAGCTTTACTGACAGGCTTCGCCAACCGGCGACACCTTGGGGGGACTGCGCATATCCGCAGGCTCTTTGCACAGCAAAAAATCGACGATTAGCGCAGCTTCTTAGACCTGCGCATACACACTCCCACACAGGTGTGCGCACGAGGGTCTGATGTAAAAAGCCTGGCAACCTCAGCTTCAGACACTCGCGCCCGCGCCCGCCAACCGACTTTTTGAACATCACCAGGACGTATGTATTTTCATCAAAAATTGCAAAAAGCAGAGAAAAATGATCAAGCATGTCTACTGTAAAGCTTCATCCCCAGAGAAGAAAGTACGCAAAGGGGAGAGGAAGTTTTGAGCTAGCATTTGTGTCGAGCACCATTGGCGTCACCAGAGTACGAGCAGCATTGCTCATAAACTACATACATTTTGCAAAAACACTACAATTTATAGTGTTTTGCGCGTGGTCATGCACCAAAGGATTTGCATCTTTCCTGCTGAGACTTTGCTGATGCTAATGATGCTCGACCAAAATTTCTCCACAAAATTTGTTTTCATTTTCAATGGCTTATGCTCAAGGGGTTTTGAAGCTATAAGCTTTACAGTGACCATTTTTGATGTTTTTTGACGAGGAGCCAGTGATATGTTGACCGGGACGGTGTCGCCGGATTTAAAGGCGTACGCCTGACAGCCGGGCGCCGGCCATGTTGGGGCTATGTTGGCCCATCCTGAGGCTAGGTTGGGCATATGGGCTTATGTTGGCCTATCTTGGGCCACGTTGGCCCAGCTAGGGCCTATGTTGGACCATCTTTGGGCTACGTGGGGCGGTGTGGGGGCGATGTTGGGACCATTTTGGGTTTGTGTTGGGCCATCTAAGGCCTATGTTGGCCCAGCTAGGGCCTATGTTGTGCCATCTTGGGCCCATGTTGAGCCTATCTTGTGCCCAAGTTGAGCCTGTCTTGGGCCTATGTTGGCCCATCTTGGGGCTATGTTGGCCCGTCTTGGGGATATGTTGGGCGTTTCAAGGCCGATGTTTTTGGATGGACATGGAAGATCATGAGGCGCAGAAAACACTGTAAAACACACTGTTCCTCACAGGGCCCAGGGGGTTAGACCTACGTCGCTGCCTACGCCCCTGTGTTTTACAGTGTTTTTTGCGCGTGATGTTCAAAAAAGCCTGTGTTTTGCAGGTTTTGTGTGCGAAACGCAAAAACTGTGGGTTTTACAGGGGTGGTGTCGGTAATGCGCGCCGCGCGGACGTGCGTAATCGGAATTATTTGGGTGATGGGCGCGTTGCAACAAATATTGTGCAAAATGTACCCGAAGATATTCCA